TCTGCTTTAACTCAGCCCCTCATCCACAACCAGAAAGGGGCAAAAGCCAAGGCCAGAGCCCTGGAGGGGCAGGAGGAAGAAGGGCCAGAGCCAGCATGGTGTCTGCTGAGAGTGCAGAAGGGGCTTCCGCCAAAGCCCCGCTGCTCCCTGGCAGCCCGTCTGCCTGGCCGGGCCTGAGCAGGCAGAGAACCCCACTGCCTGGGCCTGCACAGAGGCCTGGCCCACCTGCTCCCGCAGGTCCTCAGGGCTGCTCAGTGGTCAGCGCTGGCCCACGGGCAAGCGTTCTGTGCAGTCACACCCAGGAGCCCTGTCCCTCCTGAGCAAGTGTCAGGGCCCCTGGCTCCCACAGCCGCGCTGGGGGCTCTGGCGACGGTTCTGTGAAGCTCTAGCGCTGCTGCTGCCATGCTTGGCCGGGTACGACTGTCCTGCTAGTGAGAAGAAAAGAGGGACTTGGTTTCATTTTTTTCCAGGAAAGATAGAAAGTACTCACCAACCGGGCGGGAGCCACAGCTGCACACCTGGCCTTATGTGGAGACAGACAGGACCCCGAGAGTTGAGGAAGGGGCTGGTAGGAGGGGCTGGGGGCTGCTGCTAGCCAGGAGGGAACGTTGCTGTGTGTTGGTGCTGCAGTCCTGGCCAGAGCGCCCCCAGGGAAACGGGCTTCCCTGTACACCCACAGACCACATATCCCAGGGTCCCCGCCTGGACCTCAACTTCAGGAAGCTGACTCTGTCCACCCCGCCATTGGCTCAGATGCTCCCTGAAGTTGGGAAATCACCCAAGGATCTGTGCAGTGGCTCTGGAGACATTGGTTTCCCCTGTAACACCAAGTCCACGGGAGGGGTGGCTTTTCCAGAACCGTAAGGGCACTTGAAATAAAGGTCGGGTGGGAACCACTAGGTCATGGCAAATTCCTCCATCCCATGTGGGATGAGGGCCAACGAGTGGCAGTCTCATTTATGGAGCAAGAATGGAAGAGAAACTCAGGTCAGGCTGCAGGGCCACGCCCGCACCAGCATGTGTCCCATTTTGCAGCCTTGAGAGACATTTTGGGTTGCTGTCACCTGGGCATGTCGTGTGTAGAGGCCAAGGAGCTGGCTCAGCATGCTACAGTGCCCAGGACAGGATCTGGCACAAGGAATTCTCAGGCCCCAGAGGTCAATGCTGCCCAGGCTGAGGGACTCTGCCCTAGACTGAGGTTCCTCAGGGCAGCTGGAGGGTCCAGGACTCATGAGCAGTGGCAAAGGAGACTCTCCCTGTCCAGTCTCCCCAGAAGTGGAGAGGAGCCCTGTCCGCCTCCTCCTGTGGGCTCCCAGTGTATTAAATAAATGGGAGATAGACCAATTATCAAATCACATTTACCACCTGCGCACGTTCAATACCTAGACCTTGTTTGTTGGAAACATCCAATATTTTAATGGTTCTCTGTGTCACATCCAGCCAAATGGCTCCCCCAGGGCCCACTTCACAGTGATTCTGAGCTAGGACAACAGTGAGCAAGAGATGCCTCATTTTCAAGCTTCTTCTGCTGCCCAGTGGCTGTGTGACCTTCAATAAGTGACCTAATCTCTCTGGGCTCCCACTTCCATAGTTGTAAATGAAGATAGACACCGTTTATGTTGAATTAGTGCCAGCTGCATGCTCGGCATTTTCCATGCATGGCTTTAGTGAGTTCCCAAGACAGGCAAGGTATAAAGTGGGCATTGAAAATGGGCCTTGAAGGATGAGTAGGAGTTGGCTGTCAGAGTAGAGAAGACAAAAGGGAGTCCAAGGAAGGGCAGGATGGTGTCCTTGGGAAGAGAGGCAGTGAGTCGGGGCTGGGAATGATGACAGGTGGGAGAGCAGAAGGGAAGCAGAGAATCTGTGACCTCATGGTCTCCTCGAAGTAGACGGGACAGCTTCAAGAGGGTCTGAGTGGAGACATCACGCCTTTCTCAGCTAGAAACCACACATGCCTTCGTTTCCCACTTTCCAGAGATATCAAGGCTCCGGGCTACGCTGCCCAGTTTGTAAGCGCAAGCCACATATGGCTCTTTAATTTTAAACTGATTAAATGTAAGTAAAATTAAAAATTCACAGCCTGGGTGACAACGGCCACTTTGCCACCTGTGGGTAGTGGCCCCCGTCCAGAACAGGGCAGACATGAAATCTTCATCCTCGCAGAGCTTAGCTGATGCGTGGTCATCGCTGCTCCGTGCAGAGCTAGAAATCCATCTGCTTCCACCGGATCCTCCCAGAGGCAAATTAGTAGTGAGCATAGTGGCACCTGGCTAGGGCCGAGAGCGCTGCCTCGCTGCGCAGCGGCAGAGTGTGCGAAGTGGCACGGCTGACCACGAGCGGGGTTAGGACTGCCCGGTCCCAGCCAAGCCGCAGCCATATCTGTGCTGTCAGACGCCTCAGGCGTGCGCACTGCAAAGAACGCTACGCTCTCCACGCAAAGCCATCAAGCAACCGTCCGGGTCGAGCAGAGAGAGACCACTGCCAGGTCGAGGATCAGGGCCGCTCCCTAAATCCGCTCCTGATTTTGCACCCAGTGGGGGTTGGGAGCAAAACAGCTCGAGGTCGATGTCCCCATGAGCTCATCTTAAAAATATCCTTCTCCCGCTCAGCACGCACAACTCCAAAATAAGTTTGTGTTGTCAAAAACCTCAAATGCGGTTTTTAAGCAAAGGTGTTGTGGCTTTAGGAAAAAAAATGAATGAAGGCAAATCAAGTGTGCAAGTTCACACACTCCAGGGAAGCCGTTTTGTCTGTCTCAGAGCTGCCTGCGTGATTCACCGTGTTGGGTTTCTTGCTGGGTAGTCTCTCACTTGAAATGGGTTTCCTGACTAGTTTTTTCTTTCTGTATCTTTTTTGTTCTCAATAAAGAGGTAGAGCTGACCTCAGCTCTGCTCTGTGCTTGCTCTAGGACCTCTGGAAACTTGCATTCCCTCGCTGGCCCCAGTGTTCTCTGTAGAGTCAGGCTGCTAACGCCTGTGGAGAGTACATGACATAATCCCTGCGCAAGTGTCTGGTTTAGTGACCGGTGCCCAAAACGCATTCACCTCCATTTTCCATGGAGTCCTTAGTTCTGGTCATGCAGTGTCGTCAGATCAGGCGTTTCAGAGCTGAGAGTGACATTTGGGGCAGCCCTTTCTCCAGACGATCCTGTTTAATCACTGTGTAGATAAACCACTGACATGGGAAATGTCTGTAATCACGGGCCACTCTGAGTATGATCTGGTGACATTTAAAGAGTAAAACAGAATGTTCCCTCTGATAAGTGCAAACCTATCCAAGCAGAGGAGCCAGCGTGGCTCTGATGCAGTTGCGGGGACTCTGCAGGCTGGGGACAGAAGTCCTCAGAGCTGAGAACGTGGAACAGAGGCTAGACAAGGGATGGCCTGTGTGCTTGGGACCCAAAGCGTTATGGGCCACAGAGCCAGCTGCACTGGCTGCAGCTGGACACCAGACGTCCCAGAGGAAGGGAAGAAAGGTCACAAGAGAGGCTCAGGAAGCAGGAGGGTGGCACCACAGTGTGCAGGGGCAGAGATGACGCAGAGCTGGTGGGCGGTCTGGGTGTGGACATTGCGTCTTGCTCCATCTCAGAGGACAGCCACCCTGAGGTCGCTTCATCCTGGGCTTGTGAACAGGTCAAGGACGAGGTAAGGGCTAAGAAGTCAGGCTCGAAAGTCAGGGGCAGCGCTGGGTTTGGAGCCACCGTCATAGCCGTGTCTTCAGCTAGGGACTTAGCCTCTCCACAGCTGCTTCCTTGTCCAGTGGCAGCAGTGACCACGGTGGTGGTGGTACTGAAGATTCGATGACGGTCACGTTGGTGAGCAGGATGACCGTGATTGTGACAGTGTCAGGCATTGACATTGATGATGATGATGAAGATTATGTCGTGGTGAGGCTGATGGTGACGATAATGGTGATTTTGATGGTAGTCATGGTAATGATGATCGTTAGGCAATAATGGCTCTGCTCATCAGAAGGAAACGTTGGATGGTGACATTTATGGCAATAAAAATCTCAGTGGTGCCAAAGATGACAACGATGATAACCAGTGAAGTAGGAAAAGCCTGTACTCCTGAACAGATGTCACAACAGGCTGGGACATTGGGCTTCACCACTGATGGTGACCAGGTGCCCTTAGCCTCTCTGTGTCAGCCCTACTAAACCTGGATAGTTGTAATTAATCATCGCTCCTGTCCCGTAGGGCTGTCAGAAAGTTCAAATGAATTAAAGCATATGTAACATGCCTGGCGTGTAGTAAGTGCTTAATAAACACTAGCTATCATTATGAATAGTGTTATTGGCTGGGGATACAGCTCATCAGCACAAAGCCTGCCTGGCAAATGCAAGGTTGTGAATTCAATTCCCAATACCAAGAAAAAGAATAATGTTATTACTATTGTTGCTATGTTGCCTTGAGTTTCAGAATCATTCTGTTTATCGTGAGCCGGTACCGTTCAAAGGAAGCCCAGAGCCTTGGTCAGGATAGAATGACTCATTGCCCACAGGACTTTCCAGCCGTCTACCCGCTAAGTTTTCCACATTCGGTGGGCACCCAGTTATTCAGAAGCTCACGGTGTGTGGAATTCCTCCACGAGCGAGGTGTCCTGTGACCCAGATCCGTGAAATGGGGAAGGGGACAGGGATGTGTAAAATGCATGTCACGGTTGCCTCCAAATGATGTTTGCAAAGATAGGTGTAAGCCAGCCGGCAGGGCCAGCGTGGGGAGCTCACCTGCATGCTTAACAGGGCATGTGAAGGGCCGGGGGTGCAGCTCAGCGGCACCATGCCTGCCTGGCAAGTGTGAGGCTGTGAGTTCGATCCTCAGTACCAAATAATAATAATAATAATAATAATAATGACATGTGTCACTGGGAATCCTTACAAAGTGGCAGGCTGGATGCCCAGAGTGCACTGGCTATGCAGAGAGATGGGTGAGCGAGCTACCAGGTCAGGAGGTGCCACCAGATGCCACCCCTTCCTCACCTGCTCATCTTGCCTTTCAGAGATCTGGACAGCAAATCACACAAAGCCCTGACCCTTGGCGGGGAGAACGACAGAGTGCTCCATGACCTGTGGGGGGACAGCAACGCGCCTGTGGTCCTCAACAACCCGTATTCAGAAAAGGAGCAGGTGAGTGCGGCTGCCCGCCCCCCAGGCGCCCCGCCCCCCAGGCGCCCCGCCCCCCAGGCTCCTCTGCTGTGGGGGAGGGGGAGGAGGGGGCACCAGCCGCCACAGCTGAGGGATGCATGCCCCTGCGCCGTGCCATGTGAACTCCAGCTTGGTTTGGAGGTGCCTCTGCCTTAGATTTGTTTGCGAGTTTGCCCTTTTTCAAATCTGAAGTCTGTTTCTGCCAGAAAAGGCATTCACAGGTTCCAATTTTAAAAGCAATCTAAGATGCCTAGTGATAATTTTTTCTCTCTCCTGTAATCCCAGCCAGCAATATTAATCAGTTTCTTGTGTCCTTTGAGCAGTATCTTCTACAGAGACAGACACATATACACGTGTATATAATTTTCATATTTTCCTGCAAATGAGAACCTATTCTGCATATTGTTTTTGCACCTTGGTTTTTCACTTATCAACATCACTAGTAGATAAGTCCCAGGTAGCAGGTGAGGAGGGGCCTGGGTTTTGCCAGCTGCATAATATTCTGTCGCCTGGTTATGCGGTCATTTATTGAGTGAATCCTCTCTAATGGGCATTTGGCCATTCGCCCTGTTTGGCTGTGACAGTGCCATCATGCATGACACTGTGCGGTAACTCATGTGGCACTCGAGGGACTGATAACAGAAATTCCTAGAAGCTGAATCGCTGAGTCATAGGCCACGTACGTTTATGGTTTGGGCAGAGCTCAGCCAGGCGCACACCACAGAGATTTTACCCGTCCTGCCAGGGAAGCAGGAGACTGTTTCCCCACAGCCTGGCCAGCTCCATCTGCCACTGAAGGTGCCATCTCTGCCAGTCCGCGGAGATATGTGCCGACAGCTGAGCCTGTACCCTTCCCCAGGTGCGACTTGTTTGGCTGGAGATGAGCAGTGTCTTGTCCTCTCTTGTGCAGGCAGCCGGTGGCTGGGCCACAGCGACCTAGGGAGCTTCCGCCCGGCGCCCTGCAGGGCAGCAGAGCAGAGTGCGCTGACCAGTGGGAGGCTAAGAAGCAAGCAGCCCAGCAGGGGGCGCTCCGCGTGCTTTTCCCTCCACCTGATGATGGATGGCCACAGGGATGGCCTCCTAGCCTGGGGGGGAACTGCTTTGCCTTAGCTGTTGGTGGCCGGCTGAGGACGCCGGCCACTGCTCTGTGGGTCAGACCCACAATCCTCACGGTTGGCCCTTCCTCTGGGAGCGCCTGGTAGAAGAGCATAGTTGTAACCATTTATTACACTGGCTTCAAAAATTAAGTCTCGCCTAGTAGGGTGACGCTTGCCCAGAACCCTGGTACTCTGGGAGGCTGAGGCAGAAGGGTCACAAAGATCAAACCTAGCGTGAGTGACTTAGCAGGACCCTGTTCAACATAAAAAGGGGTTGGGGCTGTCGCTCAGTGTGAAAGCTTTGGGTTCAGTCTCCAGTGCTGAAAAGCAAAAGCCAAAAAGCTCAAGGCTACCCTGGGGTGTGGGTGGATCCGGCTGTGCTTAGCATGCTTGAGGCCCTGAATTCGATCCCCGGTCAGTAACAGCCGCAGCTATAATAGCGTCCATACTATGAGCGCCGAGTTATCCGTGGACGACTAGAGGAATTTAACTAGTTTAAAATTCCTTTCTGGTTTCTTGGTTGAACATAAAGGGAGGGGTGTGGCCATACCTGGAACCTTCCCAAGACAAAGAATAACAGAGTCTCCTGGCAGATCCCGGCTATAGATCGGAAGCATCAGGTCTAGACAGTATTTTAATTTATTGCCATGTTTTCAAATGTTTCACATAAAAATATCATGACTTTTCTTTAAAATGTGCACAAACTGCTCACAACAAGTCCGTACTTTTGGGGAAACCAGCCGCCTGGTCAAGCAGGTGGCCTCCCTGCATAAAGATGACTCCCGGGTTTGTTATCTGTGGTCAGTCTGTCATTGACACCAAGTACCCATTGTCATTTATTACATCAGTGCTGTTGATTGGCTTATAATAGGATAGAAATTAAATCTTTTGTCCACGTCTTGATTATAAGCAACAGGTCAAATAGCCCAAGAGATCCCTATGCATCAGGAAAAAATGGAGAAGGTTTCATTTTTTGACAAAATGAAGAATATTCTGATAGGTTTAATAGGAGTGGTTTGTTCGTTTATCTGTTTGATTTTTAGCAGGGGGCAGGTATAGAACCCAGGGCCTTAATCACGTGCAAGGCAAAACCTCTGGGCTTTAAACTCTGGCTCAAAACGCTCTGTTTTGAAACTGTCCTGGCTACTTGGCTGTTTCGCCTCTGTGTCACCTCCTCGTATCAAACCTTGTAATTCCTTGTCTGCAGCAGCCTTTGAATTCTGGGTATGGAATAAAGCAGGGAGACCTTGACCCCACCAGAAAGAAACAGACGTCAACTGCAGAACAGAGGTCACTTCCTTCCCTGCCACTCACTTTGTTTAAAGAGTATCAGTCTGCACCAAGCATGGTGACACACACCTGTAATCCCAGCTACTTGGGAGGCTGAGGCAGGAGGATCCCAAGTTCAAGGGTATCCCGAGCAACTTAGTGAGGACCTGTCTCAAAATAGAAAAACAGAAAGAAAGAAAGGAAGGAAGGAAGAACAGAAGAGGACTGGGAATGAGGTGCTTTCCCACAGGTGTGAAGCTCTGGCTTTGATCCCCAGTACAAGGAGACAGGAGGTTCTTAAAAGCAGTAGTGGGTGGTTTCTGAGTAGTGGGACTCAGTACGGAGGATGCAGCAGAGATGATTCCAGCACAACCACTGGCGTCTTTGCAAACCGGGGAATCATCTTTATGCAGTGAGGGCACCTGCTAGACCAGGTGGATGGTTGCGAGCAGTTTGTGCTTTGGTGATGAAGGCGGGGGGCGGGTTAGGGAGGCCCTGGGGCCTCCTGGAAGATGGAAATCCCATTCACTTGGAGGAAAAATGAACTTCGAGAGTCCTGGGGAAAGAAGGGGAGACTGAGTCTCTCTGCAGGCCCAGTGAGACAGGCAGGGTTTTCAGCCTGAGGCCTTTTGCAGAGACACCAGCTTGGGCTGGGCTTCCAGCTCCCCCATGGAGGCCATGACCCAAAAACCCTCAAAGCCACGGTCCTGCCAGGTCATCCTGGCTCCGTTGTCTGAGCTTTGATTTTCCAAATGCCTCTCAGGACTAAAGCTGAAAGAAGACAGAGAGAAAGCCCTGGGATATATTGGAGGCCTAGCTCCAGAGCTAAGAAATCAGTCCTGTCATCCTGCTAGACATCGCCATGGCCACGGGCCTCAGAACTGCTCCCGGGCTGAGCAAATTAGCAGAAAATACAGTGTTCTTATTCCACCATGAAAAACCACCTCCTATACTTAGCCTCTCCGCTGCCCGCTCAAAGCCACGCTGCCCGGAGCCCTTGGGTTCTGTGGTTGTAACCTACATTTTATAAAGCATCCACAGAGGCTTGGCATTGTTCATCACACGGCAGGGGACCCGGCCCTGCCTGCTTCCCTGGGGGGGGGGGGACAGGCGGTGGCGGTGACAAGCAGCTGGTCTGTACTTTCACCCAAGCCTGGCAAGAGGCACCAGGTGCAGCAAGCAGATGCAGGCTAGACCCAAGAAAGAATCCTGCCTCTGCAGACTGTCAGCTCCCTGAAGGAGCAGTGTCTCATTTCAGCCATTGCCAAACTGCTCCAAAGCTCACCACGTGCATAGCCCTGGGGTAGAATCAGGATGAGCTGGCATTGTCTTTGCTGCCTTTGAGACCCTCACAGTCAAGGGCAAAGAGGCAGATGCATATGTTGGGCAGTTTGTGGAGAGAGAGAGAGGGCCCTGAGGGAGCATAAATACCTTAGCAGGCTGCAGGGAGGGGTTACCAAGAGGTGACATTGGACTGGGTTTTGATGATTAAGTAGGAGTTTGCCTAGCAAAGCATAGAGAAAAGCATTGTAGTAAAAAGAATGTCTAAATACTGCATTTTTTTCTCACTAAGGGTCTTTAGGAAATCTCTGAGATGGTCTTTCTTGCTAATGCCACCCAAAACATCCTTCTAAAGGGCTCTTAAAATAACCATTTGCTAACAAATGCTACCATGGATTCAAAATATGAGAAAATGCTGTTTGTCATCTTCCATGCATGCTTGTGGGGTTTCAGTCAGGCCTTTTGCAGCGTCCCTTCTTATTAAGCCCCATTCCCCTTGCTTTCCTGAGGGAGATGGGGTGGAGCCACGCCCTGCTTGGGAACAGAGCCCTGCTCTCAGATACTGATTAAACGTTGGTCCGGTGTCTCATGGGTACAGCTGGGCAAGGTGGTGTTTCCCCTCGGGGTCCTGCACCCCGCTGCCATCCCGCTCCCCAAGCTCGTGCTAATCAGATGTCAGACAGTGACTTTCCTGTGAAATCCCCCTCCCCGCCTGGCAATTCCTCAGCCCCAGGACCCAGGACCTCCGGGCTGCTTTTGAAATGTCAGAGTCTGCTGAGAAACCTCTCAGTATTTCTGAGTAAGTGTCAGCCTCTGTGCAGCCTCTGGGGCTTCCAAGGGACAGGAATTGGGGACACACACTTGGGCCCCATCTTCAGAGGATCAAAATTTACCAGGGCTCACGTGCCCCTGTCCCCTCCCCTCTCTCCTCTCTCCTCGCCCTGGGAGCCGGTGCAGCCTCTGCTGATCACCGAGAGCACCTAGCCGGGCAGCAAGGCAAACTGCTCCACCTCTCGGCCACCGTCCCTGGAACCGGCAGCAGCCGCATCTGCTCTGACTCATGCGCGCTAATGATGTGGGGATAAAAATAACAGTAAGGTGGTGACAGCACTGCCTTGCAGATGTGCAGCCCCTGTCACCAGGGGTTCACTCGCCCACAGCGTGGGGCCACAGACTCAGGGATGGGGCCAGGTCACCCCTGGAGCTGGTGACCTCCATCAGATGACTAACATCCGCTCTGAGCCCCTTTCCTCACGGTGGCTAACAGGAGCTTCTCGTTCCGGGGCAAAATGCAGTCGTGTGTGTGTGTGTGTGTGTGTGTGTGTGTGTGTGTGT